AAATACACATATTTCACAAGCTTGTGCTTGCCGTGTTGAGAATTAGATCCTGCGTGCTTGCAACTAGTGATGCGTGTTCGTGTTTGAGCAACTCGACACCAGTCCACCTCTAGTTAGAACTCATTGAGCTGCCTCTGTTCATGATCATGCATTGTTCTTCAGTTAGTTGCAAGCACTGACTAATAGAGAGCTCTTTTTGTTGTCGTTGTTGTTGTTGTTGTTGTTGTTGTTGCTTCCTGCTGCAACTAAAAATAGGCACACGCGACCCACGCAACGCTTTGGTTTCGGTCCGCGTTGCTCCAATTTCGAAATGTCCAAGTATGATTCTTGGTTTTTTTTTTTTTTGAGAATTGGAATAGTCTTCGACATGTGGACGGATTGTGGTGCTGACTACAGTAAAAGCTCTACCAACACGGACAGACATCACGTTCTACCCAGTCTGTTTTTCTACATTTTCGAACATTTGCCTCAACTAGGTAATTAATTGGTACTGTAAGTGTCCACTTTAACGAGCTTTTACTGTACTTCTGGCCAAGTTTACGATGCAGTTAATATGCTGTTGATTTTTATTGATTCTATATGCACACGCACTTCTCAGCAAAAGTTTACATGTGTCTTAAATATAAATGGCCCAGACAAAGTATTTTAGGTATACAGGTGCATGTGGGATTTCGAAATGGAAACAGTCAGACAGGCAGTTCGTCAGACAGTCTGTCATTCAGTCAGTCAGGCAGTTAGTTTGTTCGTGCTGAGCGAAATAAACAAGATATTGTGTATGCAAGACGTCAACTGTGTACATTATTTTTTATTTCACTGCTCTGTGCTGTAGTTGACTTAACAATAGATAAAAGACCCCCCCCCCCTCCGCAGCTGGGCGCAATCATATGAAGAAATCCACCAAACTCAACACAGCGCAATGCATTTAAAACGTTACACACAATAATAACCGTTACAAAAATTACAGTCGACAAAAAAGATGATATTATCTGCGGGTCGCCGAATTTTAAATGCCCTTGCTGACTTTGGAAAATAGTTGCCTGTAGATTCTGGTGGTGTTTTCTTACGAAGACTTAATTTCCCACTAAAAATATATTTAAGAAAAAGCTAGTTTTTTAATGATATGATTTTTCTCATATGGTTTTAGGCATTATAAGGCTGGGTTTTGTTGAGTTCGATTAAGTTTTCTAAGAAATGGAATTTTTTTTTATACAAAAACTTACTTTTCGAGCTAGCCTTTGAAAACTATATGATAAAGCGCGCCCATTCAAACGACTTTAACATAACTATACTGCCTTTAGAAAGAACATGGTTCTAGACTAGGTATCAACAAGATTGTTTTAAAACAGGCAGACAGAAGAACATGTCTATATCGACTCTTTACTCATAACATACATATTTCGTGACAAAATCAGGGTACCCTTAGCAAGAGTATGCATTAAGAAAGGGTTCAAGAACATGACGCGTTGTGACTGCAGAGCGTTGGCATTAACCCGCTTGGGCCACCGAGCATAGCCCAGAGACCAAAAACCAAGAAAAACGAAACATAAATTCACAATGGGCAACAGAAACAACAACAAATGGTCGTCGCATTAAGTTGCTAATAGAGAAAAGCCGCGACTACACGTTCAATAATTGCAGCTACTAACACATACATGCATGCATGCATACATGTACACACATGCGGGGAGGTGCACACATACACTGAAAACATGCATTTAGCGATTTACGATGCAAATGCGGCATGCAACAACAATGGCCAGCTGACCCCGTTATTTGTTGAACTGTACAAACCTATACATGCATATACACACACACACACACACAAATGCAGTGTGTACATGTGTGTGTAATACATGTAATAAGACCAAAATCGCATGCCTAACAAAATGCAATGAAGCATCCATCTAGATTTGGGGCGAAATGGCAACGCTTATGAAATCATTGAAATGAAAACATTTTGTAATCGATAACAAGCAAAGGGTTAGGAGTGCGTGGGCGGCGAGGGCGGGCAGCGTTGCCACCTGAGCCGCGGATGAACGCAGCGCCCAGCAGTGCTAGAGTTAGAGCGAGAGCGCAAGTGTGGTGCTGCCAGCATTTTTTAGGCTAAAAAAAACCTAGCTGGAAATAGCCAAACAATATTTAAAATTAAAAGCGAGAAGTTCTATGCAGCAGAATTTATTTTAAATCAACCAACAAAAGCAAATAGACTAGAAAATTAAACTAAGAGGAAAAACAACATATAATTTATAGCTTAATATTGACATAGGTAACGGGCGCAGATGTTTTAGCATTCACATATAGATCTTTATTGGCTAATAAAGCTAAAAGTAGCTAAATTGTGTACACAAATTAAACCAGCTAAAAGCTATTTGAAAAAACAGCCAGCTATTTGCACTACAAAAAAAAAAGGCTTAAACTAGCTAAGAGGATAGCTTACCTGCCTGGCAGGTGTTTTAACTAAAATTGACTAAACGCATGATTCAATATTAATTGATTTGGACAGCTGGAAATGCAATCGCAACTAATTGCGCTTACATGAAAAACAGCCAAACGTAACTTCACGTTTAATGAGCATGTGCTAAGCGAGACAATTAATTGAAAAGAAAACCACCAAAATATAATAAAAAGCAAAAGTCTGCCAATTGTCACATTGACGCAACAGTGGGAGACACAGACATGGCAATTGAAGTTAATTAAATGCGAGCAGGCGAAATAGCAACAATTAATTGTTATGCTGTTAAATTGCATGGTGACACCTTCGTGTCTGTTATTCGATATAGAGATGGGCGAGTATCGGCTGCACGAGCACGTCGCAAGTATCGGAAGCACGAAAAGGGTTTGTGGCTTTTGCACACATGATCTTTCAACGTGGAAAAGCAAAATCTTAACGAGATGTGAGCTTTGTAACATTTGCTCAGTGACATCTTCGTGCCTGAAATTCGATATAGAGATGGGCGAGTATCGGCTGCACGAGCACGTCGCAAGTATCCGAAGCACGAAAAGGTTTTGTGGCTTTTGCACACATGATCTTTCAACTTGGAAAAGCAAAAACTTAACGAGATGTAAGCTTTGTAGCATTTGCTCAGTGACATCTTCGTGCCTGTTATTCGATATAGAGATGGGCGAGTATCGGCTGCACGAGCACGTCGCAAGTTTTGGAAGCACGAAAAGCAATAACTTAACTGGCTTTGCATTGCATTATTTACAGACTTCTTGCTGAGTCGTGCCTGTTGTTCGTGTCACGACACGCGCACATCTCGCATGATGTGCTTCTGTCACCGTTAATTACTTTCACTCTCATCGTGTTTACACAAGCCGCACGCAATTTGTCGCCCCACAATTGTCGATCAAATTAACAACGAAAGTGAAAAAAACAACAACAATATTTCTTTGAAGTTTTCTAAGCTCATTAGATGAGCAGCGCGCTCAGTTTTCTAATGAAAACGAAATCGCAATTGAATTGAAAATTGAAAGTTATGCTCGAATCGAGTAATCGATTGCGTTATTATTTATGAACAATTTAGCTGCTGTTGACAACAAAACGGCGCAACTTGTTGCAAGTCGAGTGTTTCCTTGCCCGGCCAAGTTGCCTTGCTCGCGGCTTTGATGGCAGCTTGTCGTATTTTTAGACCAACTTGTTTTACCTGTTTCCAGTTGGCCGCAGCATCCTTCAGCGACAAGCGGCAAGGTCGAGGCCTTCCGCCACATTGTTGTTGTCAGTTGCTGTTGTTGCTGTTGTTGTTGTTGCCAGCGCATCTGCCCCGCACGCGATTTGGCCATCATGACAACAACAACAACAACAACAACAACGGCATCAACATTGGCTAATGTTGCGTTTTCTCTCCATGCCACACGCTGCTTTTATATTGCATTACGTAATTACCCAGTAAATTTTCTATTTACATTTTGATCACACAATTTCCTGACCCCCCCAGCTCCACCGCCCACAATGAGTGCAGGAAGTGGCCAACGAGCATTCGAACTTTTCGACTTTAAGCCAATGACACTGGCTTCAAATGAAGCTTGGTTTATTTTAAGCAAATATCGAATTAACTGCCAGTTTAATCGTAATGTTATGTTGAAATGTTCCGACTCTGACACTCAGTCCGTCTGTCTGAATACAAGTCCAATTTAGAAACGAGAAAAGCCCAAGACTGAACTTGGTAATATATACATAATCAAATATATATGCCGCAAGACTCCATCATTTGTTTATCGATATATGCTGCTATTGCCATAATATCGATAAATATCGATTTAGAAACTTGATTTTTGACAACTCGATAGGTTTAAGAGCTAGGTAGACTCAACTTGATCTGAAGTTTCTCGTATGCGATTAAGAATATTTAATTTCTTTAACATCTTGCCCAAAACTGGAAATATGTCATTCTTGAACACAAAGCCTTTCCCTTTTTCTGTATATAGACACTTTTTATATATATTTTGATAGATTAAAATTGTTTTCACTCTTTTGGTTTGCTTTCGCCCATTCCTTATGCCATCCTCATGCCCTGGCAATTTCATAAAGATCGGACAATAAGCTCCGAAGCTTACCAAGATCGCATTTCCCTTAGTCTGTGTTATCACTTGCTCACATATTTTTACAGTTGATTAAATATATTTGCTAATTGCTTTTAACTAACTGACAAGTTAACCGGTTTAACTATCTTATCTATTCGTTTACTAGAGTCATGCTGCTCTCACCTTACTTTATCGCTTCCTTAAATCACAGTTTTTCACGGCTACCTTTTTCAGCTGAATTTGTAAGTGCATTGTCATGCCTAGCACAAAATGCGAAGTCAAGCGAAATTCAAGCCTCTCTGCACCGTAAATTTAGCATGAAATTGGGTTACCTTCGTGTCTTATCGATTTGCGGGTAGGGGAAAGGGAGGAGGGAGGGTCAAAGACCCAGGCCAGACCATGTCCTCGTACAATATTTTTTGCAATATTGTTTTTAACGTATTTATTTTTTTTTTTTTTTTTTTTTGCCCTTTCTGCAGCTACGACACGGCTAGGGATGGATTCTTGGACCTGAACGAGCTGAAGTACATGATGGAGAAGCTGGGCGCACCGCAAACCCATCTGGGACTGAAGAAGATGATAGCCGATGTGGATGAGGATCACGATGGCAAGATATCGTTCCGTGAGTTCCTGTTGATCTATCGCAAGGCGCAGGCCGGCGAGCTGGACAGCGATTCGGGCCTGAACCAGTTGGCCCGCCTCACCGAGATCGATGTGGAGCAGGTGGGCGTCAGCGGTGCCAAGAACTTCTTCGAGGCGAAAATCGAGCAGCAGCTGCGCACAAATAAGTTTCACGACGAGATACGGCAGGAGCAGGAGGAGCGACGCCGCGAGGAGGAGGAGCGCGCCCAGAGACGCCAGCAGTTCCAGCAGCGCGCTGCCATCTTTCAGTAAAGCCAAATATCGGGCTATATATATATATATATATAAACAAGATATTTTCATAATTTGTAGTCTAGCGCGTAATCCTTGTGGCGTAGGTTAAACAAATGCAACATAGCACACATTTAGGGGCAAATGCGGAGCAGGACTTTGATATCACATCACATACACAGCATAACAATTCATTCAACTATAACTAATTATATAACATATATAACATACATAATACATAACATACATAAATACATTTAGTTATTGAGCATACCAAAAGCATAAATTTTAGTTGCCTATTTAAGTCAAGAATCAAATATATATATATTTTCTATTTAGTTTTAAGGCTTTTCCGTTTTCCAATTTCTTTTTTGTTTTAATATTCCGCGAGTTTTGTTGATTTTTTAATATTTGTCTTTATTTGCTTTTATTTTTGAATTGTGTTAGTGCCATTTTTTTTTTTAAATTTCAATTAAATTTAAATCACATGTTTTATGTTGCATAAGTTAAAAAATTTGTTAAAAACTAAAAAAAAAAAAACAGATATTCTATTTTACTTTACACTCAACTTTTTTGTACATATTTATGTTGCATTTTTTTTTTATGGATCATTATAGTTAAGTTGAAAATTTCAGTATTTTCATACAGCAATATGCGAGCCGTTCAAGCAATATTAAATTACGTTTAAATATATGAATATACAAATATAACGGCAATTACTAAACATACATATGAATTACTGTATATAGTGCAAAGAAAAATATACGTGAAAAACCAGATGAGTTTTAATTGTTGTGCCCCGTGTGTTGAAAGCAATACGGAAATTATTTGATTTAAACAGATGTTAATGTGACGCTGTTAATGTAAATCCACATTAAATACCTATGTCTGTTAATGTGCGCATCTTAATGTTATGTTCACATTTTGAATACTTGTGGAACCAAATATCTTTTATCTGAGCTAATACTTGATTTTGCAAATATTAGTTGCAAATTCTTTTCTTAATACTCTAAGCATCACAATTTGGGATTCTTCGCTGAATCCTAAGACAAACTATCTAAAATTTCTACATTTCCCTCGCATACTTATTCTAAGCGAAAATAATATGAAATTGAAATTTCTAAAAATTTATTTCTCCAAATAACATGAGATAAAATATAAGGTAAGGTACATAATAATCGGAGAATGACAAGTTTTGCTTAAGTAAATCTTATCTAAAAATATGCCCTCTTTCAACTATTTTCTATTTTAAATTAGCTGCGAATATTAAAATAGGTATAAAATAATATCTTACAATTGTTAGAGACATCTCTAAAGAAAAAGAAAAACTACCTTCGGCAAGCCGAAGATTTAATACCCTTGCTGACCGAACCCTTTCTGAAAAACATAGGGAAACAAAAGTTTTCAATACAACTTAATTTTTAACCGATCATCCCTATGGCAACTATATGATATAGTGGTCGGAGGTAAATTCAATTTTGCATAATTGTAGGGAACATAATAAAGTCTCTGATTGTCAAGTTTGTTCAAGATATCTTGAACAACAAATAAGTTTTTCATACAAGAACCTACCTATCGATCGATCAGTCCTATGGCAACTTTATGATATAGTTGTCTGATCCAGCTGGTTCCGACATATGTACTGCGTGCAACAGAAAAAGGGATTTCAGCAAAGTTTCATGACGCTAGCTTTAAAACTGAGAGACAGACGGACATGGCTATATCAACTCAGTTGTTGATACTGATCAGGAATATATAGACTATGGGGTCGGAGATGACTCCTACTACACATTTCACGATAAAATTGTAAAGGGTATAAAAATATATTTGAAATAATATGTTACACTTATTATAGAGACATTGTGAGAGCATGCGCAATTCGTTATGTTTTTGTTGGGTCAGCTTCGGCAGACTTGGCGCCGCGTCGCTGCGAATGACGGCAGCGCAGCATGTCGCACTTGAGGGCATAGCGATGCTGGCAGACGGGACACTGGTGCGGCTTGAGCTGCAGATGGTAGCCCTTGATGTGCTGGGAGAGGCCGTTGCGCCGCTTGAAGACGCGCTCGCAGATGCTGCACTTGTACCTGCGCTCCGAGCTGTGCGTGATGCGATGCTGCTTGAGCCCGGTCAGCGAGCTGAACGTCTTCTGGCAGACGCTGCAGCCGTGGGCGGCACGCTTTGCGGCCTGTGCCTGGCCAGCGTTGGGTGTGCGGCGTCGCTTGGCCGGTCGGGTACGCGGCGGCGGCCGCAGGCGACACTTGATCTCGTGCCGCCTGTAGATGCGCCAATGGGTGAAGCTGATGCTCTGGCAGTGCCGGCACTTGTAGCTCTGCAGCCGTGCATTGCGCAGCGGCAGCGACTGACAGATGTAGCGCATATGCTGCCGCAGCCCAAGCCGCGTGCAGAACAGCCGCAGGCAGCCGAAGCACTTCACGGCAAATGTGCGCGGCGGCGGCACCACAAAATGCCGCCTGCGTCGCCGATGTCCGAGCAGCTGCTGCACGCTGGCAAAACCCCGGGCACAGCGGCCGCAGCGCAGCCGAGAATTGGCACGACCGGTCGCAGTCGGCTTCAGGTTCGTCCGCAGCCGGCGGCACTTGTGCTGCAGCCGGCGATAGCGTGCGGCCAGCTTGGCGTAGGCATAGTTCGGCGATTGCGGCTCACTGATCGCCGGCTGGGCTATGAGATCGTTGTAATGCAGAAAGCTGCGCTGCATGTCCAGAATGTCGATCTTCTTCTTGGCGGGCATCTGCGCCGGCAGCCAGTCCGCCTGCCAGTAGTCCACAGCGGCCGGCAGCGGCGGCAACGTGCTGCCTTCTAGCTTAAGCGAGTTGTTTGTTGTCGGCTGGCTGAGATTCGGCGGCGGCACGCTAACCATGGGCGCAGGCGCAGCCGTGGGCGTAGGCGTGGCATGCGCATGGGCATAATGCTGCTGTAGGCTCTCGGCCGTAAAGAACTTGGTGGTGCACAGGCTGCAGTTGTGCAGTCGAAAGGCGGAGGACTGCACCACGCTGTCATTGAGCACCACAATATTGGGCTTGGTCGAGGCTGGAGCGGGCGCCGGCGGCGGAGCGGGCATCAATTCACATATCATGGGATTGGGTATCTGGCTGACATTGGTCACAATTGGCTTGGTGCTGCGCGGCTCCGTTGGGCCGGAATCCTGCAGCTCGGCGCCTTCAACTTTCTCCGTTTTATATTGCTGCAGCGGCGGTAGCTGCCAATCCTCCTTGGCATAGTTGTGCTCCTCGGTGAGCAGCTCCGATTGCAGCAGCTCGTGCGGCGTGGGCAGCACAGCGGGCACGCTAACGGGTTGGGCCTGGGCCACATCCGCATCGTCGGTTATATTTATGAACGGATCATCGAGATTGATAATCTCCATGATATCACAATTGTTGATGATGTCCTGCGCATTTAGCATGGGAAAATTGCAGAATTGAAACTTTTGCTCCGTTTCATCGTTGGCCTCCGGCTCGTGATCGCAGCAGCCCTCGTCCAGGCCCATGTCCAGCTCGTCGGGAAACAGATTGTCGAGACTTTCGCATGCCTCCTGCTTGACGCGCACCACCGGCTCCTGTTTGATCTTCAGCTGGCGACGATATTTGCGCTGCAATTCGCCCTGGGCGACAATAACAACATCACAGAATTTCGAGAAGCGCTCCAGTTGACGGCAACAGTCGCCGCATATCTCCTTGGGCAGCGGCAGCGTATCGTCCTGGAGTATCTGGAGCGTGGGAAAGCATTTCTGTATCATGGCAAACAGCTCAAAGCTCTTCTCAAAGGACACACAATTCAATGCGGCAATGCCGCAGAAGCGACACGTGCTCTTTGTGCCGCTGCAGCTGCTCGCCGGCACGGCGTCCGACGCAGGTAGCGTGACCTGTTCCACAATCACATTCAGCGTCTCCTCCGGCACTCGGACCGTGGGCACGGCGTTCTTTTTCAAGGTTTTGCGATTGTTGCTGCAATTGAAGTCGGCGTCCACGAAATGGCGGCTGCAGACGGCGCTCCACTTGGAGGGCATCCACTGGCCGTTGCGCTGTGTAAAATCCCGCCATTTCTGCAGCAGATCCTTGCGCTTGAATGGAAATCTACAAACATTTAATATAGCCAAAACTCCTATTGAAATCTCACCTGTGGAAGGATATGCTGCCCGCATGCACATATTTATCGCTGCAATTGACCACCGCACAGTAGGCGGGCATTTGGCATTGTATGCTTTTCAAAATCGTATTCTACTCTAAATTATTTTGTTTTTTATTGTTTCGGAAACTGAAAATTGCAGTTTTAAATTCTCTTTGCGTTTTAACAGCGCACAAGAACAGTGTTAATAGCATAACCCATACAGGGCTGTTATTAACATCTGGCTGTTACAAATGCTTAGCAAAACAGCTGTTACGCTTTTTTAGACAAATTAACATTTTTTATTGATTGCAAAATGACTTTAAAAGTGCATTAGGAAATGTATCAAAATCCATTAAATATTTTAAGTGACTGAACATTAGGAAGAAACGTATCAACGAACGTAGCAATGAGCTAACAGGTTCTGTTAACGCAGTTTGGATCGTGAACTAACGAACTGGTTCATCTCTTATCAGTATCAGCTGTTTTACTCAACTACCCGCCCACCAACATTCAATTAACGCCTTATTAGAGCTGCCCGCCGCTGCTGCTTGCCAAATAAAAATTCTCCGACTGTTCAGTAATACAGCTCTTGCGGCAGCTGTAGACGGACTGTTACTGGAAGAACGTGCGTTCGCGGCAAGGTCGAGCAAGGTCAAACAGTGAAAGTTAAACAAAATGGTAAAGCTGCTCAAAGCTGCAAACGTTGCCCTGGCCCTGCGTTTCACTCCAGTCGCTGGAACAGCAAGCAATGCAACATTACAAACACTGGACAAACAGCGACGCTGGCAGCACAGGTCGGCTGCGGGCAGCGGCAGCGGCAGCGGCAAACGGTGCGTGAGTTGCGATAAGAAAAAAATTTGACATTTAACGCGTGTTAATTGTAAAAACAAATAAGAAAACTTATCTGCGGCAATGGCCGCAGATTAAATACCCTTGCAGTATATTTCTATTCTCAGTCAAAAACTTTTCCATCAGTAATTCCCATGGGATCTATATAATAAATAATCCGATTTTTACCATCTTTCTGGGAATAGCAGAGTTCGTTAAGGATTTTAATTAATTCAATTCAATTTATTTTTGAACGTTTATTCATATGGGAACTATTCGTACAGACGCTCTTAATTCGATATACTTGTTTCTACCGATTGTTCCAATTGAAATTATATAACCAAACAATCCAATTAGATTGTTTGTCATGCGTAAAGATATCTTTAAAAAAAAGGTGTTTTATACATTTAATTTATTTCCCAAATATGCTTCCTTTTGAAAGCTTTATTATACAAGGATCCGTTGGGGAAGCCCATATAGATTATATTAAAATACGATCGATTATATGGAAATACGATCCGGATCGTGGGGAATAATAAAGTGAGCTCAACTAATTGATTTTCCTCTCTAACGCAGACAATATGATCTTGTTGTCGTGGGCGGTGGCATAGTGGGCGCGGCGTCGGCTCGTGAGATCCTGCTGCGCCATCCCGCGCTCAAGGTGGCCATTCTGGAGAAGGAGCCCAGGCTGGCGATGCACCAGAGCGGCCACAACTCGGGCGTCATCCATGCGGGCATCTACTACAAGCCAGGCACACTGAAGGCTCGCCTTTGCGTGGAGGGACTGCATCTGGCGTACAAGTATCTCGACGAGCATCAGATTCCGTACAAGAAGTGCGGCAAGTTGATCGTGGCCACGGATGCCAAGGAGGTGAAGCTGCTGGAGGATTTGCATCAGCGCGGCATCAAGAACAATGTGCCCGATCTGCGCATGATTGACGGAGATCAGATCAAGGAGATCGAACCTTATTGCCAGGGCGTCAAGGCGCTGCACAGCCCGCACACGGGCATCGTGGACTGGGGCCTGGTCACCCAGCACTATGGCGAGGATTTCAAGTGCGCCGGCGGCGACATCTATCTGGACTTCAAGGTCAGCAAGTTCAGCGAAACGCCAGAGGGCACTGACTACCCGGTGACCATACACGGCGCCAAGCCTGGCCAGACGGTGAGCACCAAGAATGTGCTCACCTGCGGCGGCCTCCAGTCGGATCTGCTGGCCGAGCTGACCGGCTGTCCACGCTCGCCGCGCATTGTGCCCTTCCGCGGCGAATATCTGCTGCTCTCGAAGCAGAAACAGCACATGGTGCGTGGCAATATCTATCCGGTGCCAGATCCGCGCTTTCCCTTCCTCGGCGTGCACTTTACGCCGCGCATGGACGGCAGCATCTGGCTGGGACCCAACGCGGTGCTGGCGCTCAAGCGCGAGGGCTACACGTGAGTAAATCCGGAGCAGCTTCCGTTACCCATTTAAAGGGAGTATAATAATAACATCTCCTCTCTCCATTTGCAGCTGGGGCGACATCAATCTGTTCGAGCTATTCGATGCGCTGCGCTATCCGGGCTTCCTGAAGATGGCCAGCAAGTACATTGGCTTCGGCTTCAGCGAGATGGCCAAGTCGGCGTTCATCAATCTGCAGGTGAAAGCGCTGCAAAAGTATATCCCGGACATAAACGAATATGATATTGAGCGTGGACCGGCGGGTGTGCGCGCCCAGGCGCTGGATTTGCAGGGTAATCTGGTCGATGACTTCGTCTTTGATCGCGGCGAGGGCAGCGGACCGCTGGCCAAACGTGTGCTCCATTGCCGCAATGCACCGTCGCCGGGCGCGACGAGCAGCCTGGCCATTGCCAAGATGATCGCGGACAAGATCGAGACGGAGTTCGCCATTGGCAAGGCCAAATAGTAGTTGCCAGATCCCAAGCGAAATCCGTTCTTTTGTTGTGCATTTCTTTTATTCTTTTAAGCATAAATCGTTTCCACTTTTCGATAAAGTTTCCTTTTCTCCCTTCACTCGCAGGAAAATCCGTGAAGCTCATCAGCAAGAGTTCTTATACATATATGGGTATCTTATATTTCTAGTGAAGCCTCAGTTCAGCTCCAGTATGTGCCGCTTGCCGCTCGCCGACGGTTCCTTGATGCCCAGCACCTGGATCTCCCTATGCAGCTGATTCGCAGGCGATGCGGTTTTCAGTAGCTCGCGACATTTCTCATTTAAAATTTTCAGTCCGTTGGCTGCATGCTGTCGCATTTGAGGATCGCAGCTTTCGTTGGCTTCGATGGCGCGCAGCAGCCTATAGATGGGCAGAAGCATGTCCTGGTAGTCCAGCAGGCTGTCCATGCCGGCCAATAGCTCGGCAAGCACCAGCAAGGCGCCACGCTTGGCCGGCAAATAGCGACCGCTGCTGAGCTCAGCGTTGATCAAGTGCAGCAGCTCCTGGAAGAAGCTGTGCACGTGGTTGGCGAGCAAGCGGCAGAGCTGCGCCAGATTCGCATAGGCGGAACTGCGAAACTCATCCAAGTCCGAGCGAGCGCCGTGCAGAAAACAATTGAACAACACGGCCTTGTAGCGATAGCACAGAGGTCCTGTTGAGTGCAGGAAGGAATCAGTATTTCGGTCTGCTCCAATTGGGATTACAGATGCTGTGCTACTCACCAACTTCCTGGGCTGCCTTTAGGATGGCCTCACCCACGACCAGGCGATAGTCCAGATCGGCTGTCTCCGACAGATATTCATCGCTGAGCATCTCCAGCACCTGGGACTCCATTATGTGCACCAGAGCCACAAACAGGCGCACACAATTGAGGAATGTGTAGGATTCCCTGTGCTTCAGCGTGCGCAGAGCGAGCGCAATGATGCGATGTGACTGCGATATGAAGGCGGGATCCTTGCGCCGCAAAGCATCCAGCATCAGCTGGATGCCATAGACCTGGAGATGTGGCTGCTGATCCTCGATGAGCTCGCGCGCCCGCTGAAAGGACGTGAGAGTCGAAGCACGGCTGGGCTGCCGCTCGCCGCCAAGCAGCTCCAGCAGCGGCTGCAGCGCATTCTTGAGCAAAGGATTTTCTGTGTGCTTGGCCAACTGCTCCAGTGACTGCTGCAGGCGGCGTGCGCCATCCGCCAGCTGCAGCTGCTCGCTGCGCTCTAGCAGTTCCTGCAGCAACAGCAGTATGAGCAGCTGCATCTGTTCCGCCAGCTGTGCTGGCTGCACTTTGATGTCCAACAGCAGCAGGACGAGCTCCATAAATGGTTTGCTCTGCGTGGCCGCCAGCTGCGCCTTCAGCGGCTCGTGCCAGACCAGCTGCTCCAGGACCACCAGCAGCTCCAGCTTGAGCTGATACTTGAGCTGCAGGAATTGCGCCAACTCCGTTTCCGTGGACAGCAGCTCGATGCTGGTTGGCTCTGACGCCGCCAGCTGCTGCACCATGAGCCCGAGCAGGGCCAGAAACACTTTCGTGGTGAGCGCCTGATCGCTGCCGGCCATAAGCAAAGCGGGCAGCGCGCGGCAATAGTTGTGCTCCTTCTGCTCCTGCGCCACCTGCACGGTAATCAAATCCGAGTCTGTAGCATGCTTGACAATCAGACGTGGATGCAGCGCTTGCCAAGGCGACGGGTGGGAGATATCCCAGCTGAAGAGACGCTGCAGCAGCGCAGGCAGCTCCTGCTTCAACTCCCTGTTATCCAGACAGCGCGAGATCAACGCGGCCAAGGTCTTCCGCTCCGGCAGCGTTGGCGGCAACTGCTTATACAGCTGCAGGAGCAGCGGCATGTAGGGCACCAGCAGCACACTGGGCAGGCAGGCTACGCTGGAGAGGCAGAAGAGCTGCTGCCAGAGGCGCAGGCAATCGCACAGCTGCGCCTGATCCCAGACTATAAGGCCGTTCAGTAGATCAGCCGGCGCGGTCAGCGGCTGCCAATGCTGGCCGAGCAAACGCTCCAAGCATTCGCGATTCGCCGCATTCAACTCGCAGAGACGCCGCAGGCTGAGCACGCCCGCCAACAGGCTGTGCTGCTGCGCCACCTGCAGGCGGCAAAAGTCCAGGATTTGCCCAATGAGCCGCTGCTGCAGACGCGGCGAGTAGCCGCGCTGCGCCACAATTTTGGCCACGATTTCCGCATTGCGTGTGGCGTTCGGCGTCTGCAAAGCGGCCAACAGGCTGGCAAAGCCATGCGCGGCTCCCAATTTGCTGAGGAGCTGCTGGTGCAGCTCCTTGGCCAGGCCAGGGCACAGCTGAGGAGTCGCCTTGAGCAGCAGCACATGACGAAAATAGTCCGCCTTGGATTCATTGTGCCACAGATAAGCGAGCGCTGCGTCCAGCTGGGCAAGCTGCGCTGACGTTGGCTGCCGCACGCGGAGACTTATAACGACGGCCAGCAGATCTCGCTGCACCAGCTCCATGGCATTGGCTATGTGCAGCTGGCGAATGCCCAACAGGCGGGTAAACAACTGCACACTCAGCCAAATCAGCGAGGGATCGCAGTTGAGTTGGCCATTGCTCGGGACATCCTTGAAAACGGGCGATTTGTAGAAGTTCTCGTGCAGCTGGGCGCGCAGCGCGTAGTAGCCGAGCTCCTGGGTTGCCCGCATGCACAGCCTGAGATGGGCCACCGAGATGAGATCCTCCTTGGCATCGCTGTCGAAATTGATGTTGCGGCTCAACGTGTGCAGCACGTGCAGCAGGCGTATGATGTAGCAATTGATGCAATTCTCCACATCGATCGGAACAGACTCTGCCTGTACATTAAGATCCTTATACAGTTCTTGCAGCTGCTGCGACACATCTAGTTGAACGTATTTCGCCAAAATAATTAAGTTTCCCTGTAGCCTGGTAAGGGCTTCCGAGTCCTGCCCTTTGCCTGCTGCAATATATTAGATATGCTAACTGTAGTTAAATGCTTAAAATCCCATCATACTCACGCGCTGCATGTTCAAAGTTTAATTCATCCAGCAATGCGAAATATTTGGGTATATTAATCATAGCGCGCGAATATTGCAATTGCAACAATCAACAAATATTTCGGTTTTGCGGCAACAGCTGTTGCGCAAACTAGGTGGCAACGCCGAACAGCGGGTGAAATGCCAGCATGACACTTGCAATGTTTCATAATACCCACTTTAAACACTATTAAAAGTGTAAAATATTGTATGCCTGGCAAATTTATTGGGAAATGTTATTATTTAACATATTCCTAACATTTTCCTAACATACGATTAACACTTAACATTTTCTTAACATACTGTTGACACATAACATTTTCTTAACATAGTTTTAACATACCGTTAACATAATGTTAACACTTAACATTTTCTGTTAACACAATGGCCTCACGGTTGCACGCTGGTATGTCTCCCATCAGTATCGTGCCGACTGGCGAAGCGTGCGCACACCTCTAATTTTTTTTTTATCGGCTGGCAACCTTGCACATTTAGTGAAATCCAATTTAATTGCAGCTAAAATTCGTTCGCTTTATTTTCTGCTGCAAATATTGTAAATAGTTATTCCGCAATTCTGTGTATATAAACAATAATAATGTGCAACTTTAATAAATAGTAAATAATACCAAATATAATAGATTTTATGCAGCAATAGCTTACCCGTACGTGTAAGTCAGGAAAATCGAACAACTTTCTTTTTCCATAGTGTGTGTGTGTGTGCGTGCGAGTGCGAGTGCTTGTGTGTGTATGTGTATTGCTGCCATGCAAATGCGAAAAAGCGCAGCGTAAATCACAAAACTACGCAAAAACAAAAGTTAATTAAAATAGAAAATTCGCGTTAATTATACGGCTAGCGGCCAGGTGGACACGCCCATCGTTGGCAAACGCCCACGCGATTAACTCACACACACACACACACAACCAGCTGCCGTCGTTGTTGCCACCGCAGTAAACAACAAGAATAAAAATTGAAAAATGAAGAAAATCCTGTCGAAATTCGACAGAAATGAGAAATTGGAAAACTCGCACAACAGCTCTTCATCCAAGGAGACAAACAGTTTCGTTGGCAAGGTTTTCACAGTCGGACGCGTCACGGTCACCGTGGAGGATGTCTTGGCCGAAGGTAAGTGTTTGGGCGGGGGGGAGGTAGGGAGTTGCTGGTTTATCAGATGTTCGTGTGTGTGTGTGCGTAGAGAATTACACAAATTGTTGCCACCTGATTTAAAGCGTGTAGCCAGCACGTCAGATTAGATAAAAATTAAAAAAATATATGTGCCATAGTCTGTTTCTTTAATGTGGGGCGTAAACAGCTGCGTTTCCCCTTTCGGCCGGCGACACTTGTCGCGTGCTGCGCGACGGGGCACAAAGAAACTGGCACTTTACTTTTCTACTATACAAATTAATAGAAATTCAATCAATTATGCACATTAATCAAGCCAATAAAGTAAGAACTATTTTTTCCTCTATTCCCGGTCTGCACACACACATACATTGAAACAATGCCGTAGTGTAATTGTCGTCATTTGCAAAAGGCAGAGTTCAGCCCCGATGTTGCCATTTTAGCCATTTTATAGCTACTCCTAGCCAATAGATGAAAAAAGCTAGGATTTAACAAAACAATTGTTTATTTATAAGATGATTGGAATTCTTCGGACTTAAAGCCACTTTTGAATTTAGTCTGGCCACTTTTGGCAACTTTTTTTTTAGCTTTCAAAATATATATGGGCAACACTGTTCAAGGCAAGACGCAGAGATGTATTGCAAGTGTCCTTGATTTCAAGTGAATAATATCCTGCGCTGCAAAACGCCCCTCAATTGTCAAGTGCTTGGCAAATAGTTGCTACTATTTTCAACAGCTGGCAGATATTTTATTTACATTGCGTGGAGCCGACATTTCACCTTTTACTTGGCTACAGTTATTGATATTTTTGTTTTTGGCTATTTTTGCAACTTGGCAAGCAGCGTTGTTGCTATTGACCACAGAATGTCGGCGTCAGCTGTTGTTGTTGCTGTTGCCGTTTCAGTTGCCGAACAATAACCAGAGTTGCCAACTCGTT